GGAATGTGTGATCGTGTTGGCCAAGCCTGTGCCAGGATGCGATAGCAGTCTCCTGGGTCCTGCAGTATTTGAATTGATGCCTTTAGAAGAAGGTCCTTTGATTTTTCAGTCCTGTTGTAGAGGTTGCTTCTGAAACTCACTGGCATGTTTACAATCAGCTTCCCAGTAATAGTCCTTTAGTCTTTCCTACCGTTGCTTTTCTGTTATTCCTTCCCTTTGCCCTGCAGTTTTGGTTTAGTGCCAGAGGTGGTTTAGGAGTAGTTTCTTTCGGAAGCTGTCAGAGCTTTTGACTGGGACATGATCTCTTTTCAAAGCCCTGGTAATACTTTCCAAGCAGTGGTGCTTGCTTGAACTCTGGGTGATAGCACAGTTCCTGTGTTCTAAACACGTTGGTTTTTTTTCCTGCCCCAGCTCCTCTTCTGCCCACTTTTCCATGACAAATTTCATAAGCTTTCCAGCCTTTCCCCCACATTTCTCTTGTTGGTTATGAATCTTGCCTGCTGTAGTTAGAGAATCATAGAATCATTTAGGTTGGAAGAGACCTTCAAGATCATCAAGTCTAACAATTAACCTAGCACTGCCAAGTCCACCACTAAACCATGTCCCTAAGCACCACATCGACATGTCTTTTAAATACCTCCTAGGATGGTGACTCCACCACTTCCCTGGACAGCCTTTTCTAATGCTCAACAACCCTTTCGGTGAAGAAATTTTCCTAATATCCAATGTAAACCTCCCCTGGCGCAACTTGAGGTCTTTTCCTCTCGTCCTGTCACTTGTTGCTTGTGAGAAGAGACTGACACCCACCTCGATACAACCTCCTTTCAGGTAGTTGTATAGAGCGATAAGATCTCCCTCAGCCTCCTTTTCTGCAGGCTAAATAACCCCAGTTCCCTCAGCCGCTCCTCATAGCACTTGTGCTCCAGACCCTTCACCAGCTTCCTTGCCCTTCTTTGCATGCACTCCAGCACCTCAATGCCTTTCTTGTGGTGAGGGACCCAAAACTGAACACAATATTCAAGGTGCAGCCTCACCAGTGCCAAGTACAGGGGGACAATCACTTCCCTAGTCCTACTTGCTACACTATTTCTGATACAAGCCAGGATGCTATTGGCCTTCTTGGTGACCTGGGCACACTGCTGGCTCATATTCAGCTGGCTATTGACCAAGACCCCCAGGTCCTTTCCCACCGAACAGCTTTCCAGCCATTCTTCCTCAAGCCTGTAGTGTTGCATGGGGTTGTTGTGACCCAAGTGCAGGACTCAGCCCATCAAACCAGCCTGTCCAGATCCCTCTGTAGAGCCTTCCTACCCTCAAGCAGATCCACACTCCCACCCCACTTAGTGTTGTCTGCAAACTTAGTAAGGGTGCACTCGATCCCCTCGTCCAGGTCACTGGTAAAGATACTAAACAGAACTGGCCCAATACTGAGCCCTGGGGAACACCATTTGTGACCAGCCACCAACTGGATTTAACTGTGTTCAGCACAACTCTTTGGGCCTGGCCATCCAGCCTGTTTTTTACCCAGTGAAAGGTACACCTGTCGAAGCCATGAGCAGCCAGTTTCTCCAGGAGAATGCTGGGGGAAGTGGTGTCAAAGGCTTGAGTTGGGAGTTACTCTCTATGTGAAAGTTTATTCTTAGTTTTTTGCAATCCATGTGCTAATTTAAGTTGCTTTGAAGTTTGCCTTGCCTCACAGCAGTGCCGGGTAGGGTTAGCCTTCAGAGTTTGGATTAATTTGAGAAATGATGTCCAGAAGGCAAAATCATTTTGCAAATGACCTTCTTAGAGATTTTGAACACAACTGAGTATCACCCTTCTGATGTTTATCTCAGCTCTGGTTGGAGAGTTAAGATTTTAATCTGTTGAAAAATCCACATATAGATTCTTTCAGAAGTTCGCTATGGGAAATTAGTGTTAATGACAGAGAGGGCAGGTGGAAGATTCTTGCAGGGAAGGTTAATGTGATTGTGACTCTTGCTGCACACCTCTTTTTTTGAGGAGTGGAATGTGTTTTGGTTTTTTTAAAAAAGTAATTTCTTAGGAGGTTGTGAAACATAGCCACTCTAGCATGAGCTGCTTACTTTGGTTTTGCATTCTTTATAGTAGGTTTGGTGCAGAGATAGGACACACAGCCTTCATTAAATGTATGTAAAGTCTCTTGAGATACCAAGTATGGACGAGATCTAAGGAACAAGCTAGAAATGTATTTCTATAGTATTGCAGTAACAAGGTTTGGCAGTGTGTGTGCTTGTAAACACATAGATACTTTGGGGAAATACTGTTTTCCTGGGAACTTTTGTGATAAATACAAAGCAGTGGATGTTGGTTGTGTAGTACATACTGCCTCACAGTTAAGTACCTCCCAGAGCCCTTCGAAGTGAGCAGCTCTGAGAGAGGAAAGATAAGAATTGAAGCTAGGGTGGGAGAAAGGGACAACAAAGGCTTGAGGTCGCAAGTTGCAAAGTGGGAGCCTAAAGCAGTAGTTGGATAGAGTTGCAACAGAGGGGTTCTTACGAGAGAGAGCTGGGGTACTGTAGGAGGTGTTAAGGCTACCACTGTGCTCCTCTTGGAAACCTGCTTGGTGAGTTGGGCATAGACGAAGACTTGGGTATGCTGCCTGCTCTTGGACTCTAGCTCCCTACCCTCTCCTTGTGATGCTGCTGTTTGAAGAGGGGCTTTAAAGTGGGTCACTGAAACGAATCCAGTTTAAAAGTTGTTTCTCTCTTAACCTGGGTCATTCCAGTGACCTCGTTTACAGAGCTCCCCTCCCACTGAAGAGTTGCGTTAGCAGCGCTGCAACGGCAGGACGAGAGACAGAGGGTTGGGGATGGGTGGGGAGGGTGAGCGGTGCTGAGCCTATTGAAGCAAGTGTTCATGTAACCACACGCTGAATGCAGCTTTCCCAGGGGAAGGGTGGGAAAGGCAGGAGAGGTGAGGTCAGAGCCGTGTGTGAGAGCATAGGAAGGAAAGAGGGGATTAGAGTTGTGTGGTGGGGGATCTACACCAAGCTTTTGGTCTTGTCCCCACCCAAGCTTCTCCATTTCTGTCCTCTTCACAAAGCTGTCCCATCAGATGTTACCTTCACTTGCCTCCCATAAGCCCTGGAAGTGAACTTGTTTGTTTGATTATCCCTGTGCCGAAAGGGCATCCTGATGCACCTTTTCTGACACAATGTACTGACGTGGTGCTGAAATGAGGCAAACTCAATCCTTCCGGGTATGTGTATGCCTTTCATCATCCCAAAGCAGCTCTGCCAACTCAGTCCAGCTAATCCCTCCATTGTGAGTAGGGCTGTGTTAATAACTAGCACAGCTGGAGGGCATGCGAACAAATGCTGTAGTTCACATCTGTAACATAGCGTAAGGGATGCCGTGCTTTCTTAGTTTTCTTCATGAGTCCTTGTTATGGCATCTTTGTGTTGAACTGCTTATAGTAACCTGCTTCTGCTCCAGGGCAGGAGGTGGGTAAAGCTGCAGTTCTCTTTGTGAAGACGGTTGCAACTCATCTCTGAGCTTTTCTGGGGAAGGTTGGAAATCCAGCGGACTTGAGAATTAGTGTCCTCATCCTTAAGTGCTGCCGAGTCTTTCTCCCTAATGCAGATGTTGATAGGCCTTGCCTTTGACCCTTTAGAGTTCTCTTGCGTTCTGTTGGCTTTCCCAAGCTTGACATCTCTGATGTTTTCACTGCTTGTTTGGTGGCTCCTCCAGTGGCCTGCCTCTCATTCTGCAGATTGATCAGGGCTTGGCTTCTAGTTCCATGGCTTTTCTGCTGGCTGGACTTCAGTGGATTTTTGAGTTAAATCTCTCTGGTGATGACCTGTAAATTTTGTATGAAAAGATATAAATGTAAAAGCCTGACTGACCCTTCTGTATTGCCTCCAGGTGGTAATGAAGAAACACTGAGAATGAGTTTATAACCAAGAGGAGTCTTTACTAATGCAGTATATGACTAACAAGTGAGGAAGGAACTTTAGATAGAGCGGAAGAGAAGTGTGTCTTCCTCTGGCTCAGGCTGATAGCACCAGTTTAAGTAGCAGCTGCCAGATCAAACCAGAATATGGTACACCTCCCTGAGCACCAGTTACCCTAAAGATGTAGGTTTTAATTATTCTCTTCTATTTTTTCTCAAAGCCTTTACTTCCAAAGTTGCATAAAGGAAGGCTTTGTGGTTTTTCTCCCCTGACAAATCCCTAAAGTGCTTTGATAAGAGAGGAAGAGGAAGCAGCAGTTGCTACAACCCATACATGTGTTTATGGTGCTATATTGTTGAAGAAAATCTATTTTGGTGTAGATGAGCTCAACCTCAGAGCATCTGTGCCAGAAGCTGTACATCTGGCTGCAGCTCCCAACTTAGGGCTTTAGGGAAAGTCTTTCTGGTGTGGAAAGTCTGACCCTCCTTCGTATTGCCCTGGTGGCAAACTGGAACCTGGGCTGTGTCTGATGTGCTCAGTCCTTCAGCTCTTCTGGAAAAGAAATACAGCTTTTCTATACTATGTAAACAAACAAAAATGTGTTTGCACACCTCTTTGTGGAGAAACAATTGAGCTGTAACTGATGCCGCCTGCATGGTGTGTTTCTTCAGCCAGAAACTTGCCTGGAGCCAGCAGTGGCTTTGCAGGTTTCCCATGCTCAGGCACCATCAGTCGATGCTGACTGTGAAGGAGCCCAGCTACGCTGGTGCCAAGTGTCCAAACTTCTGATCAGGATGTGAGGTCAAGTGCCTGATGTCCCTGCCAAATAGTTTCCTTTCACAGTGGCATCAGGATGGCCCTGCATTCCTCTCATTGTCCCACAGTGTGACTGCCAAAGCTGGTGAGACCAAGCTACCTCACCTTTCTGCCTGTCTCAATCAAAACAGTCTGGGCTGCCCAGACTTGACTTGCACGCCTGATGTGCAGAACCCAGGCAAAGTCCAAGACTCACCATATCTTCATCCTGTGCACCTGAAGAAAGCAACCTGCACCTGAGTACTGCCTTCTGAGTGTGCAACAGAAACTTCCAGCTTTGTGATGAGAGCGGACACAGTACTTCTGAAGCAAATTTAAGAAAAAGCTGCTAGAAGATCTAAGAATGGACCTTAGCATCAAAAAGATACTATTGTAAAATCTTATCTGCAGACTTAAGGAAAAAGGAGGATGCATTTAACTATGTCAAGACCACCAGGGTATAAGAGTGGTTCAGACATGAAGCTGGACAAAGGTGATTAATCTATAAGTTATGATGAGTAAAGAAAGAAACATTCGGTTAAGTATTTGTTTCATTTATTTGGGTAAAGATAGAATGATATTGTCCCATTTTATAGCAAAATTAAATACTTTCTGTGTTTTTATTAGTAACTATGAGGATGTTAAATGACAATTATATGGGGTTTTTTTAAATCAGTGAGCATTGAAGAGCATTTAAAGAGTTAAATAAAGAGTTCTTTTTCTTACTACTGTTTGCTTTTTAACCCTTCTTGGAATGTTGAATAGAACTGCAAGTGTTGTGCCATTCCTGGAGAAGTATGGGAGGTGACAAAGAGGTGGCTGTAAATTGATTAGCTTGATTTTGCAGGAAAAATCCTGGAGAGTTAGATCTGGAGCAGAACCAGGATAGCAGCAAAACTGATGTCAGTTATCTTGGATTTTGTGAAAATGAAATCTTGTCATGTAGATGAAGGTGGGGTTTTTTTTAGATGAACTAGAAGATTGATAAAGGTAACCTTTTTAAGATAGGCATTAGTTATTTGTCTCAGTCTGTTATATTCTGATTCTACACAACACCATTGTAGACATATCCTTTTTAAGAAAGGGATATGTCACACAGCTTTAAAAAGTTACTGTCAGGCTTGAGAATTAATCCTATAGTGACCCTTCTAGTGTAATCCTGCTGGCAGGTGTTTGCAGCGGTTAAGACCAATCTGTAGGAAATGTAAAATTACACTAGGAAATTCGCTAGAGCCAAAGGTTGGAGGAAGTGTGGAGTAGGACAATTGAATTCATAGGGCCCTTTTCTGAGCAGTCCTTTACTGGAGCCAAATCAAAAGTCTGACATCTCAGAGGTGATAACAGATCATGCTTACAAGATGAGGATTATATTCTGCAAACCAATTACTATAAAAAGAACATTGGAATGATGCACATAAAATCTCCATGTTAAAGGGACCCTGCTTTGAGCAGCATTAGCTCCGCATGCTAGTCTTCCAGAGTCAGTGCTTCAGAGATTTGGGGAGAAGTTGAAAATGGTTGAGAGTGTTACGGCAAATGTGACTCAAGATCTAGGAGAGCTGCCATACAGTAAGAGATGTGATGAGCTCACTCCGGTGTGTATGGTCAACAGAAAATTAAGAGTGGGTTTCGATCAGTCTACAAGTACTGTGTGGGAACAGGGCCATGAAGAGAGGCTGTTGGAACAGCTTTGGCTGGTGGAACTGGTTCTTTATCTCATACGCAGCAGCTCGTGCTCACCAGTCTGACCCATGAATGATTATCCACCTAGAGGCAGATGTTTAGACACAGGGGTTTGTCAGTAAGTGGATCACATGCAGATGTGGAAGGGACTGCTGACAGTAGATGGTGCTTTAATTTAGCAGAAAAGGGAAGAATGCGATTAAGTGGTTTGAGGCTGAAACAAACACATCTGCATTCAAAACTGGTAAGAGCTAGCATCATTACGGTAAGTGGGAAGGGGATAGAGGGGAATGTCTATAGCTTGCAGCCTTTGGATTTCAGCATGGTGGTATTCTTCAAGTTGTAAAATTAAGAAAAGACATGGCTCAGAGACAACTGGATAGAGAAATCACAGTATTTCACCCATCATTCTGTTGTTTAGGAGGTCAAACTTTCTTACCGTAGTCATCAAAAGAGCGTGTTTTCATCTGAAAAGTCACTTGGCCAGAACTGAACTATGACTTTTTTCCATCCTGCAGCACCTCTTCCCTAAAGGTTTTGACAAAGCTGTTACCATCTTTGTCATTCAGTTGTGTGTACTTGGTGCCGACTCTTTCGTTTTCCTCCTTGACACAATATACTACCTGAACCAGATCTTGCCTCTGCTTTCTCCTTGTCACCACAACTGTATTTTTTTTCTACGCCACTGTCTATAAAGTTCTTTCTCTATTGTGATTTGATTATCACAAACATCCACACTTCTTCAGCCCTTAGGGACACGAGCACTGGGCTAATACATCTGTCTTCTTGAGATTTTTTCTTTTGGAAAGGCAGAGATCTTCAGTGAAACTTTATCTGGGCTGGGGAAGCTGTTCCTGATTGTTTCTTGGTGCTGTGAATTCTGCGTGCATCTCCAGCTAATGGCTCTGTCAGCGAGGTAACCCTCAGTGGTTTAGCTGAGTCTTTAAGTGCACTCCAGCCCCGCTCTGCAAAGACAGACCCCACATAAGTAGAGCTTTCCTCACGCTGGCTCTTTAGACTGATCACAGTGAGGACAGCCTAGAAGAGGCTAGTTGACTGTGCCTGGGACTAGGAAGGCTGCCTAGCCCAGAGATCCGCTCCAAACAACTGATTGCCTTGGACCCTTTCCGAAAAAGGCTCTGCAGACACGTATTTCTTCAGTGAACTACCAGAGATGGAGGCACATTGCCAGAAGAGCCAGCTGCGTTTGGGATTAGATGACTGGAAAGAAGTCCTCTCTGTCTTCAAAACGAAATCACTTTTTAACAGCTGCTGCAGAGAGTTCTCGTGACCCGCGGTTCCACAAGGAACTGTTCTTTTCCTTCTCTTTCCTGTTTCTTCATTAATTAAGGTTATTTTCCTTCCCCTTCCTCACCCATTGTGTCTCCATATATGTTTCCTATGGGACAGGAGTGTGGGAGGTCCTTTTTCTATCCACATAGTTTTTTTCTGTCTCTTGAAGTCTCATGATAACTGCAGTGATTTTGGCACTCTGCAAGGTGAGCACACCTCAGATAACCTGGCAAGATCTGCCTGTACTCAGAAAATTGCTTGGAGAGAGGAACTTCCTCACTAAGCCTTTGGTTTATTGTTATTTCAGTACTAAATGAATAATGAGAAGGTTTAAGTAAACAGATGGGTTTGATTCAAGCCCATCATACCAGGGGTGTGGGGGGAGAGGAGCTGCTTGTCCTGACAGCTCATCTCATTAGGCCACATGTGGTGTGAGGTGTTGAAAGCAGTTTATCACATGTAGTGCCTGGGCATGATGGGGTGAGCTGGGGATCAGTGTATCTCTGGCTTCCCCTTAATTCTTAATATTCTGAAAGGTTTCTGTAGTTTTCAGGTAGGTGCAAACTAAACATGTGCAGCTCTGTGTGTTTGAAGTTTTGTTACAAAAATCACCTCTTTCCTCTGTTTCTTCCACAGTCTCAGCTGCCGGCGATGTATTATTGTGGGAAATGGTGGAGTACTTGCAAATAAGTCGTTGGGGTTAAAAATTGATGACTATGATGTTGTCGTCAGGTGAGTCTTTGGCATCACAGTTTTCTTGTCATATATTCAGTTTCTGTATCAGTTCACATGCTCTGCAGGCAAACGTTAAACCTACACTAGTGACAATATCCATTTGTGTGGAAGCATTAACTAATATGGAGGAGAAAAAAAATCAAGAGCATGTAAACGTTTGTTATAAATGGTGATTGCATCAAAGAGTAAAGGCACTCCTCAAGCATTCCATTTTCCACAGCTGTTTGGGAATGTGGTCCGCTTGAACCTTCTCTTCGTAGCTCCTTTCTAAAAGCTGCTGCTTTTGCGATGCCCTTAGGTGGTGAAGCAGCAAAATGTACTATTAGATCTGCTCCCAGATATATCACCTAGGTAGCACAGCGAAGTACATTGTTGGTCATACATGTGTAGCTTCCCCCAGGACCTACACTTTACAGTTAGAATGGGAAGAACTAAGAACAGTGCAGCATAGGGTCTTAGCAAACAGTAAGCCTCCGTGAGTGAGGACTAGGTAATGATTAAACAGCTGTAGGTGCACCCTAGAAACTGAATACTTTGCCTCTGTTTCACTGCGGATGATGATGTTGAATAAGGGAGCAGCAGCAGAGGAGTGGAAAGGACCACAGTCAGAGTTAGGACTTCTTGCTTTTGCTGAGGACCTGGATCATCGCCATCTCAGAATGCTTGAAAAACGTGCTGATATGTGAAATCACAGGTCTAGTCATAACTCTTAGTAATAAATCTGTCAAGTCAGGGAGGTGTTGTGGGTGACTGGAGATTAACAAACATAATACCTGTACTAATGGAGAGTGAGAGAGAGAGTGTGTGTAGGAGGGAGGGAGGACATGCTCTAGGGAGCTTCAGACCCATTAGTCTGACTTGAAAAAAATGCAGAGCTTTATAGCAGGTTCTGAATCATGAGTAACAAAATATTATGATGGTAAATAAAAAAAGTGGGATAAACCACAGTGCAAGTTTATAAAAACTGGTTTAATTTAGTCTAAGCTGTTTTTTTTTTCCTTAGTAAGATAACTGATTTCATATTAAAGGGAACGTAACTGATATAATCTCTCTGAACTTTAGTCAACCATGAGACATGATGGCAAATAGCAAATTCTTAGCTGAGATGGAAGAAAGAAAAGGATTAGTAAAAGAATTTCAGGCATAGAGAAGGTATAATTTAGCATGATCTCCTTTCTCTCCCGTGTGCCTAGTATTGGGCATATGAGGAAAGAACAGAATATACATAGATTAATAAATATTCTCCAACTCTGGACAAAAAGACCAAAATCCGTTTTAATCCTTTGTTCCTGTGAACAGTTCCCTTCTTCCTCAACAGTGCTCTGGACACGGGGATGACTGTTCAGAACAGGATGAAACTTTTATAGCCCTTCTCCTAGTTCATCTCACTATCAGTTGCTAGCAAAGAGCTCTTACTGCTTGTCATAGTCTGGTGACTTGCAGTTATTTGAGGTGAATTAAAATTCAATTACAGTCTCTTCTTGGGCTCAGACTGTTCAAAAAGTAGCAAGAGTCCAGTTTCAATCCATCTGGACTAAGCCACCCACTAAGATTTACATCAGAAAGTCCACTATTTAATTTCCAAATGAAAAGTTCAACCTTATCTCTCCACATCAGTAAATCTAAGTCAGTTTGCAGGCTGAGGGGATAAGAGGGCAGCTGAGCACCTGTGCTGTTTGTGGGATGGATAAAGGAGAGAAAAGTCAACTGTAAAGGTTAAACGAAGCCATGTGCTTGGATGTGGGACTGAGGAGGTGACAGCAAACTTCGTAAATGTATCCAACTGCTTCCTTTGCTCCTGGGGAAGTCCCTTGTGTGTAGCATCCTTTTACATGGGTTGCAAAACTCCCTTTGAAGGATCAGATTTGGGATCTAGGAGATGAATTTTAAGGGGAAAAAAATGCGGTAGAATTGTGAACAAAGGAGTGATCCAGCAGTATTTGGAGTTTTTTGATGCATAGTGTGTTACCATGTGAGGGTCATTAATTGCAGGAAGAAATTTTGGTCTTGTGGTGAAGAGAGTCAGATCATCTTTGACAGTTTGAGAACAGCTTGGAGTGAGGCAGTTACTGGTGTTGGGTTTGTGTTGTTTTTTTTTTTTAACTGGATATTATCAAATTTCAGTGCAGATGTTGTTCCCAGCTGTCACACTGTTTACCTGGCAGGAGCTTCTTGCAGCAGTCAGTCATCAGTGCTCTGAAATGCCTCCTTAGATTGACTGCAGACAGGGGAAAAACAAGTTATGTGTCAGAAATTCCTGGTTAGAATGAGATAGGGGTTCACCTGATAATGATACTTCAGTGATGTTTGAGAGGGTCTTCATGGTGCTTAGTTTAGGAGTCAGTGACTCTTAAACTCCCTGTGTCGGCAGAAGATAAGAGATGGAAAAACACTCTGAAACTTCTTATGGAGAAAACTGCCTGTCCATGGGCAGCACGAGGACACCTGGCATCCTAACTGAGGTTTTCTAAGATTTAGCTGTGTTTATAACCACCAGCATGTCCTGCCTGAGAAAGGATTCAAGCTGTGTAGTACGCATCTTTGTGAACACGGGTTGTGGCTGCCAGAACTTTTCCCGCTCCATTGCCTGCGCTGCCCCTGGGGCACTGACCGTGGGGCTGACAGTGCTGGCTCGTTAGCAGGACTCCTTCGCTATGACTCTGTCAGCAACTCATGTTCTGGCCCTTTGCTGGAGACCTGAGTTCGTTTTACTTGGGGAAATGGTTTGTTTTGTTTCCTGTCTAGATGCAAAGTAGGGGTCCCAAGTTTTGGGAGCTTTAACAAGGTAAGCAGCAGAACAACGAACCCAGCAGCTGGGGTGGGGAAAACCCTGCCAAAGAGCTACACATTGACATTTGGAACGACTGCGGACGCTAACCTTCCCCTCAGCTTCAAGTAGACGGATGAAAATATGTATAACGAGCTTTCTTTACCTAGTACTTCATTGTATTTATCTCTGTTACTTTTAGGACCACGTGCTTTACATTACATAAGCTCATCTACCCCAAAGAGACACAATGCCTCGAAGTTTAAATAACGTCCATAGCAAAAGCGAGTGATGTGTGAACGCGCCGTCAGCAACAGAGGAAAAAGCAAGGGATAAGGCTGGTTAGGAGCACTGTTTTTGCAAGCAGTCAGGTCTTGATACCTCAAAGTCAGGGTACAAAGTGAGGGTTTCTAAACTATAAAACTTCATCTTCTGTATAAATTGTGATGGTGCTGATTCTTGTTTTCCCTTTAATATTTTATTCCTAATGATAAAGTAAGTATTTTTACTAAAAATGCATAGGAATTTATTATCTTTAGTTTTGAATAGAATTTCAGATTGTATACAGGGTTTTTCCTCTACTAAAAGGTTTCCCACCTAAAATGCTTATCTAGGCTGAAAAAGACAAATCCAGATCCTCATTAACATTCCTACATGGCAAAATTTGCAGTCCATAAGCACTTTCCAGTATATTGAACTACCCCAAGTCAAGAAGACTGCAATAATTCAAGCAGGCAATGCTGTTCCATCAGGGGCTGCTGTTCGATGTCAGCAGGATTTGTATTCCAAGTTACTTGAAATTTCCTCAGCTTTGGGTTTCTAGTTTTAAATAGAAGTTCTGAATAACTTTAATGTCATGAAAGTCATCATTGCTGTTGACAACAGAGCAGTTTGTTTTTTGAAGGGAAAAGACCTTGTCCCTGAGAGGTGTTTTAACAAAAGCACAGCTAAACTCATAGCATTCCCTTAGAAATCAGTGTGCCCAAGAGCAAAGCTGTGTGTCTGCTTGGGTGTTTTCAGAATGGGATGTGCTTCCACAGCAGAAAACTCCTCTGAATCAGTAAGACTGCAGTGGTGCTGAGCCTTACCCTGCTGTGCAACCCAACCCCTTCCTTTGCGTTGGCATTGCAGGGCAGCTCGCCTTCTGGATTGGCCAGTTTGGGGAATTAAACTAGGTGGAGATGGTTCCTTTGGGGTTTTTTGAAAATTATTAGCTGACTTAGTTCCCTAAACAGTCTCACTGCAGGTAAGACGAGCAGTGTGAGCTCCAGACTGGGGTAGGAGCATCAGACCAGTTTCAGTCCACTTAAACTACTGTCCTCTATTTCAGCCCAGCCTTGCAGAATCCAAGTAAGATATCTCGGGACTGACGGGATGTTAAAATATTAATGCTTAGTTTGTACCTCTAAATTTGTAAGGACAGTATTTTTCAGTTTCCTTTTCCAAAGCTTCCAACCCAATTTAAATCAGAAGAGTGGATATGCAGAAATGGTTTGCGTTATATTCAATGAAATCATTTAAATAGCTTCTAATTAAACTGTTGTCACTTGATATAAAGCTTCATAAATGTTTGTGATGAAGAACTGCAAGACTTAACATTTGCTGCTGTAGCAGCTGCCTACCAGGAGCTCTTGCCCGACAGTGATTGCTGTATCATCAACATGTATCATCATGAGTGTAAGTGGAACTCCATGACAGGGTCTTCTCTGGTTGCCTTGCAGGCTGAACTCGGCTCCAGTGAAGGGCTTTGAAAAAGATGTGGGTGGCAAGACAACTCTCCGGATCACATATCCTGAAGGTGCAATCCAGAAAATGGAGCAGTATGAGAAGGATTCCCTGTTTGTTCTGGCGGGATTCAAATGGCAGGATTTCAAGTGGCTGAAATACATTGTTTACAAGGAGAAAGTGGTAAGAACACTGTGAGCTGACATTGTGAAGGTCACCTAATTAGAAACGGTGGGCAGATATGATGTCGTCATATTTGCCACGTTTTGGTCTGAGGAGAGTTCCTCTGTGTGTCCTGCATTTGAGAGGGCTTTTTTTACCTCCATGGACTTCAGCTTTAGTTAAATATGTTTTACAAAGACATCATTCTGTAACCTGACCTTGCGTCACAGATGAGGCTTTCTATTCAAGATCATGTTAGTGTGTACTATGAACAATGAATGTAATTTTTATTTATTTTAAAGTGTATATAAAAGGACCAGCTTTTGCATGGAATTTACAGACTCCTA